AAGGTATGAATCCTCTTCTCCTTCTCCCATAGTAATGGGTAAATAGCAGGACAGACCGGTTTCTATAGCCTTGGTTGGCAACTAGTCTACCGAAGAATGAAATGGCAACCTACTGCGGGAAAAAATCTACCTCGTCAGTCATGTATCGAAAGATAGCTGATCGCCTAAGCGTGTATCACACATGGTGCATAACTGAGGTAAGTTCATGTACCACCCGGTTCACACCCTCCCTAGTCTCTTGAAGAGGAGTAGAGGTGTGTTTCTTGTCTCGGAATGTTTACCAATGAGTTTCTGGTTCATTTTTAAAGTTTTCTCATTCTCATTCCCCTCTCAGTTGCCCTCTTGCGTCTTAGTAGCATTATCGCCTTGCTTGAGGTGAATTGGTGATTTTCTAAGCGAGACTTAGATGTGGTACAAGGCCGACAGTATGGTGTACCCAGTGAGGATCCAACTCCCTACAAAGTCATAATTGATCTAGCGAGACAAGCTTGCTATTACACCACGTATGGCGAGTTCGAATTTCAGTCGAATCCATTACATTCACTTACGTACTTGGGAAAGGTATGAAACCTCTTCTTCTCCCAGCTATGGATAAATAGCTGGACAGACCGGTTTATATAGCTTTAGATCCCAACTGGTCTACAGCAAAATGAAATGGCAACCTGCTGCGGGAAAAAAATCTGCCTCATCAGTCATGTAATCGAAAGATACATGATCACCTAACCGTTTATTACGCATAGCACATAACTGACTGATAGTCGGAAGATGTGATTGCCACCAACGCGGCTGAAGATAGACACAGAGATGGTAATTTTTTACGAATGTTGACTCAGACAAAATTGGATAGAAACAATCTCATGAGCATTTAAATACCTTGTCCATTTTAACATTTCTTTTCGCAGGAAAATGGTAAGCATTAGTATTTTCCAAGTAACATGCAAGTCAAACTTGTTTAAAAAAATTTTATGTGAATGTACAATAAAATAGAATTGTTTAGATAGGCGGTTTTAGAGAAGCGGGCAAATAAGAAACATAAGTCTCATGGAGGATTGTATATTCTGTCAGGTGCATAATTCATGATTAGTCTGCTAGTCTACGCAATTTTCGACATGGTGACTTTATTCTGTGAGTTTTTTTTTTTTTTTTTTTTTTCAGACGAAAGCACACAGCGTAGAAAGCGAAATTGACAAGTTTATTTAGAGAATCATAATGATATAAACATCAGACCAAAATTACCACAACCTGATCTTCCAAGAAAATACATAGTTTAAGTAAATGAATTACCGTAGACACTCAAATATACTGCGAGTTTTTACATTGATTTTCTAAGCATAGGTCAGTTGTGGCACAGGGCCAAAAGTATAATCAAATAATAGAAAAATAAATAACAAAAAAGAGAACAATTCCTGCAAGAAAACACGTATATTGGAAAATATATGTCTATCTTCAGCTGCGTTTGTGGCCACCACTTCTTCCGATTATAACCGACTATAGATTATGATCATCTCCACCACGTTTAACAGTTTTGATATGGCGTCTGTGCAAACATTTACCAAACAAAAATGGTTTCTTCTCTCGAACTTCTCACCTGGATAATTATGTATAGATAGGAATGAACTCATTATTTTTTCGTAACTGAACTAGCGAGACAAACTTGCTATCCATTACACTATGTCGAGGTTTCCAAGTGTGAGTTTTTATGATCATTTTTACGCAACAAATAGGTTGCACTATACACAGGTAATTCATTTCTGTCGGGTTGAAATTCATGTCGACTTATACACGACTATATACGGTATGAAGATAACATACTGAACGCCTCACCCGATTTCATGAGGTTTATAGCTCGGAGCGGCTTATCCCTAAACGTATGAGTAAATTCTTGTTCCTTGTTAAAGTAAGCTGGTTCGAAGTTATTAAAGAAGTTAGACCCCGAATAAAAAAGTTTATTTCATTCCTGTATGAGCTCGATCGAGACGGCGTACGATCGAGACCCGTTATAGGGTTGTGTATTCTCGAGAACACACAGACAAAATGAGGCAACATAGGACCATCATCTTTTTACTTTTTCATATCCTGTGATTCAATGTGCCTCCAATTAGGATTAAATATTATGATTGTAGAGAGTAAATGCTACAAATCAGATATTCAAAAGGATGACCGCTGTCCAAATGTAAGGAAATTAGATTATAAAGCAAATAATAATTAAAAACTTTCGGGATCAAGTGCTACTCGACGGGAAGATATCGAATTCCGTTTGTACATAGGCTATACATAATTACATATATATATATATTGCAACAATTCTTCCAGTTTATTACTGGTTTCAACTGAATTCGGAACGCTATAAGTTATACTAACATTTGTTTAACAAGTCGAATGTACGTAAAAATTAACCAATGAAAATCAAACAACCCCAAAATAAAAAATACCAGAGAGTCTTTCTTCTTTTTCTCCATGTCGCATCCTCTGATGAAGCTTTAATAAAAGTGAAACATGT